GGGAGGTTGGGTTTTATTTCATTGTTTGTGCTAGTTGTCAGGTGGCAGCCATTTTTGTTTTCCCCTATTGTGTCCACATTGTTTAGCTAAACCAGTATTTAAATCCCCTTATGTCTCATTTCAATTAGGTTAGTTTGTTGTCATGTCAGTTATGTCTTGAGTAGTAATTTGTGTTGACCTCTTTTATTGGCATGTCTGTTTAATTGTTATGTTAACCTTTGTTCATACTTTTGGGTAAATAAAAAAACCCACCCTTTTGAATTCAACACCTGTGTACTGTCTGGTCCCTGACAAAGCTGTTTGAAAAAGTAAAACGAAAAAGCTTGTATGTTCACTTGGACCTTTTCTCCTGAAGCCTCGAATCAAACAAAGTAAAAAAAAAAAAGAATCAATTTGTAAATTTGAAATATTTTGCATTTTCAAAAATAAATTCATGTGACAGAGGAGAGAATACTTATATTTTCCTACATTTGTGTCTTTGTAGTTACACCATCACATTAAAATGAGGATGGACTCATCTGCTTTCCTCTCGCAACTTTCTGTTTATACTGTTTATATTAAACAATCCTAAAACCAAAATATTTCTGTTTGCTCATACTTCAATTGATCATACCTAGAGCAATTGATTATGATAGTGTTTTAACAAAGATTGGCAATTCAGATGATCAAAGTTTCAACTTCAAATTTAGCACAAAACCTTAGTTGTTTTTCAACAAATTGGCTCAAATTTAGGTTGTTCTAAAATGTGACTATTGTGAGACTCAAAGTGTGTAATCATGGTCTAGGCTCTTCTTTCAGAACTTTGTTGATGTTTTATAATGAAAGGCTTTTTTGGGAGGATTTTAGCCATCACAAAGTGGTTTCATGTTTCGCTTTGAATTAATGAAATTTATATTCAGGCCAGACTCTTTGAAGTCTTCAAACAGCTTTGAGGAGGAAAACAGAAAACATGTGCTCTGTCAGCACCAATAATATCAATCTACTGGAGATTTTCGAAGATCACAATTATTTGTTCTTCTTGATAAGTGATAAGTGATATTTTTCAGTCTTTTTTTTATCACAATACTTATTGCTACACCGTGATTGAATGTAAATAAAAGTATGCCCTTCATCGTCCTGCAAACTCCGGTGTTATC